ACCCCGGGCCTCCGACCGCCGTGACCACGCCCCAAGCAAATGCCCCTGACTATGACTGTTTGTACATTCACCTCTCATTAGAGCTAGAGAAATATATATTTTGCATGCTTAAATTATTTGTTTCCATTGTACATTCATATTGCTCAGGTAAGGACTGCAAATGGAAGGCTGACAGAACATGGAGGAGCTCTTCGCTAAGCTTAGAAAGATGAAATCTTTGCACGAAAACATTTTGTAATCAAAATTAATGGCCAAAACGGCCGTTTTAAGCGAAAACGGGTCGGACAAGCCGCCTCCGGCGRCTTGCCAGGGCATAGATCTCGAAAARTTACACGGATTCAAAAAAAAATTCATCCAATTCGGTTAACCGAGCACAAAGTTATGGCGCCTCAAAGTTKMAACTTCGTTTGTCGAAKTTTTTTGGGCCGTTAATTGTYGAGGAACTTTAAAATTTTGCTCGTTTTATCAGCTTCTGAGTGTASAACATGAAAAAACGTATGAAAACAAGTGCTTATTTGCCTAAAACAACGCTGTATCGAGGGAGATCTGCTGCTCGAAAGCAAGTCAGTCCGCTGTACATGTTCGCGACTGCTCAACTGGGAACGATTCAGTTTCAATTTATAAAATGTATTTAYTTAYATTTTACTAGCTTTCRAATTTCAAATTCAACTTGTGGTACAGCTGGTGCCTACGTTCTTTTTTTAATTCGTCGGCCAGGGTTCGAAACTGAGTAAAGACACACGTTTCCTCCATTTAATTAATGTTTTTTTTGGCGGCCTCCTTGAGCGGGAATCTTTTCGTTTCTAATATAGATATTTGCCAGCTTCCTCCTTCACCCCGAACGGAACGTTATTTTTCCTCCTGCGCGTCTTCTCTCTGCTCAGTAATCGACGCCGCTGGCCAATGCTTCGGTAAGTTTTCCTTCCTTCGCAATTGAAAAGCCTTAYGCAGTATTCAAATTTCCGACTAATTTGAGGTTTATGCTTCTCCTTTGACACCTGCTAGAAAGAAGAAAACTATATGTGATATTTCAATTTTTGTTGAGTTGCGCTTGCTTTCTTTTTCGCTTGTTGGGAGTTTTTCATACTTTCGTTATGTATTCACCAAATTTCTGATGTGGAGTCAAATAATTACCAGAAGAATCTCTCATTCCTGTTAATGATGAATTCAGGTACTTTTTAAGAATTATTTTAAATTTATTGATGATTCCTTGAAGAATATAGAAGTTGGTGTTTACTTAAAAATTCAAAGATTTGAACCAATTGTTGATCACCAACTACTGCAACTGGTAAATAAAACAATAATTTAATAGATAAATTATTTTGTCCTTGAAAACGTTCTCTAGCTCCCTCCCCACACACATCAGTAACAAGCTTCCTTAAGAGTTTAGCTCTATCAAACTTCAGTTTTAATAAGATATTAAATATCATTATTTCGATCTAAATTTGAATTCTTTTGATACTTTCTTCTTAGAATTTAAGAATGCCATGTCTTTATTATATAACTTCTGAGCATGTTGATTTCTTAGATTGTGATGTGGTTATGCATTTCTCTTTTACTTCTANTTTTTAGCAACTTCCTGTGCATTATGAGATTGGCTTATATGGAATTGTTACAAGAATCATTAGGGAAAGTGGTATAGTTCCTCTCTTCAATCTAGATTTCACTACGTACCTCAGATTTACTTGAACATCGTATTTTAAAAGACATTAACAAGATGATAATTTGTCGTCAGCAACTTGTTTGTGGATTGCAGTAGTTGATACATGTCATGTATGTATATCATAAATGTATTTGAAATTAGACGAGGTTGTCATGAAAGAAAATTTTCACGTTTGCGGGAGGCAATTATCACCCTGATCTTGTTAATGTCTTAGATGCATCGATTAGGAATGGGTTGATGTTGCTTTGAGGAAAATCCTAATTCTCCATCACTCGTCACCCCCTAGTATGTGCAGCCTTTGTGCAAAAACATAGGATAATAATATTTGTCGTAGAACAAATTCCATGAGTTTTGGTTTAGAAAGAAGGTGATTACCTCTTTTGCATTTTTATACTGACTTTACATATAGAAGATTACATTGGCTACAAATAGGAGTTATCATTTCATTTTTTCCTCCTATTTGAAAAAATTCTTTATGCATTTTCCAACCTTAAGATGGAAACCAGGTTAAAAGTTGAACAAAGTAACACAAGGAATAGAGAGGTATATACATAAGTTGACCTGTAATCTCGTGAGTTGACCTCAAGGATTGGTGTATATAAATAAGTTCATCCATGTCTCACCACTAGAATTTTGGTCGCAGGTTTTGGCATGATGAATCTCACATGACCTCTACTATGACTCTTGTCATAACTAACAGTCTTCACTTCAATCTCATTCGTAAGTTTCTTACTGCTACAAACTACTAGCTTTTATTACTCTAGACCATCTAATATTTTGTGAGTCTCTCACACATTTGCAGGAACATTTTATTTATTTTTTGCAATCCTTCTTTATCTTTTTGAAAAGAAATAGGGATGTTATTAATAATGAAATTACAAAAGAAGGCCATTTTGGGTTATGTGAATGGGAAAGCACTAGCTAAAAGCTTGTCTGGCTGTGTTCCAATAACCAGCAACATAATTGCAGTGGCACAAATAGATGGCCTTGTGATCACACAACAACTCTCGGTATTTTCCTCAGTCGGTGCTTCAATGTGGCTGAAGTCTAATCGTGAATCCTGATTGGTGCTTAAATCTGGCTGGAGTCTCATCAATCACCGTCAAAAAAACCATGCGCTTTGCTTCGATTAATCTGTTGTTACCCCACCATCGTGACTTCTGCGTGACTGGTAAAGTATTAACCTCGCTTTAGATAGTGAAAAGAGGATTTTGCTGCAATCGTCACTTTAGATAGTGTATGTTTACGATAAGCTTTTCCTTTTAGGAACTTGGGTTTTCTAATTCTTAAATTGGGAAGTCGAGGAACATCGACAGTTCTTTGTTTTCCTTATATTTAGCTAAGATCAAATGTTTAGAATAACCAAACAAACTTTCTTTTAGTTTCATTCTAATTCAAATAGTTTTTGTTGTCATAATACAAATAATTTAACTTCTGCGACTTCGGTTCTTAGGGAAACGCAAGCAAATATCTGATGTGGAGTCAAATAATTACCAGAAGAATCTCTCGTTCCTGTTAATGATGAATTGAGGTACTTTTTAAGAATTATTTTAAATTTATTGATGATTCCTTGAAGAATATAGAAGTTGGTGTTTACTTAAAAATTCAAAAGTTTGAACCAATTGTTGATCACCAACTACTGCAACTGGTAAATAAAACAATAATTTAATACATAAATTATTTTGTCCTTGAAAACGTTCTCTAGCTCCCTCCCCACACACATCAGTAACAAGCTTCCTTAAGAGTTTCGCTCTATCAAACTTCAGTTTTAATAAGATATTAAATATCATTATTTCGATCTAAATTTGAATTCTTTTGATACTTTCTTTTTAGAATTTAAGAATGCCATGTCTTTATTATATAACTTCTGAGCATGTTGATTTCTTAGATTGTGATGTGGTTATGCATTTCTCTTTTACTTCTACGAATGATTGCTTTATTTTATTTACTTACTGTGAAAAATGTGTGGGTTTCATGGCAGTAAAAAACAAAGGATTTGTGAGCCTTCAAGGGTGCTACTTGTGTATTTCSTGGGGGTGGAGGTGTGTAGGGAAGTARCGTTTTSTAAAGTGTAGGCTTCAWYTCATTGATAACAAATTGTTACACTGTTTTGTCTAGAAGATGAATAAAGAAGAAATAAGAACATATCAAATACAGTATACTACATTACATGTGATGAATATAATAATATGTATCCATTACAGGATTCTTCTTTCTCTTATTACCAACTTCTTAGGTCCTTTTTCTGCAACAAGAAACAATTTTTTCATTGATCGATGAAAAGATACGAAAATATAAGGATAAAAAAGCAAGACCTCGCTGCTGGCAAGAAGATAAGAACTCTTACAACCTTTTAATGAAGAGCCAAAAATCAAAGAAAATGCCCAGCTTATGAAAGCAAAATAACTCTGTTTGAAAGAAATCACAGACTAAAGCATTCAAATATTGATCAATTCATATTGAGGTGATTTGCCAAGGTCTACCAAATTCTCTAACAAATGCAAGCAAGATAACTCTTGTTTTGTATTTAYATATTACCTTTAAGTTTCCTTACCTTGTACACACAATATTAAATTACTAGATATGAAGAATTATATTGTCACTTATATAGGACTTATAACCTTTTTTACTTCTGATAAACGTGATTGTGATTTSAAGGTGTGGGTATTTAAAAATGATAGTTTCATTGACATGGAATTATTACAAAATGTAGAGGTACAACCATTTCTTACATTCGGGAGTACTTTATCAAGAAAAAATGATGCTTACCTTTCAACAACGGCATACTTTGCTTCTTTATCTTTCACTATCTATTCTCTCTAAGGAAGAAATTCTTCAAAGCCTCACTCTTTAAGAACTTCCATGATTTATATCTCTTTATGAGAAATCTGATAGGAATCTTTATGAGAAATCTGACAGGAATGGCCATAGGGGTAATAAGGGATATGGGTACCGTAGTAATTAGATAGGGAAGTTGTTAGAGATAGTATTATAAATAGAGTGAGGGTGTAAGAAGGAAGGTATCCAATTAGTGAGTAAGCTTTAGGCTTGAGTGATATTTGAAGAAGGGAKGGTCCAAGTACCGCTAATACTTGGTAGCTATTGTAGTTTGTATATCTTTTATCCTTCAATATATTTGGATTTTCTATCAAAATCCCTCTCATCCCTGGCAAACACTTTCACGATTTTTTTACTCTGGAATTCTCTACTTCAGATTTTCGCATCCTATACATGTAATTATTCTAACGYTATTTTGGTTTTGGATACTGCAATTTAAAAGATTTCCTTTTTTTTTCCCTTTTCAATAGACAAATTTGGATACATGAACATTTTCTTACTTAAATTTTGATTTCATTATTTATGTTTTAATTGAGTAGTGGTTTGATTATGGTACAGACTGCCATGAATTTTTTACTTATATGTCAAATTCTTTATCATTCAGCTAATTCTTTTAAGGTATTTGATTATTTCACCCCCGTGAATCCTATTGTAATAATACTGCTTCATCTTAGTTAAACTGTATGTTGCATCCATCTAAATCTATGTGTTCTTGTTATTCATAGGCAATTATTTCAACCAAGTTACAGGTTCGGGGGAAAGGAGAGCTAAAAAAGCAATTCTTCTGATATAAATTTTCATGCACATCTCAGGTAATCTCTTCAATSTCCTTATCTCTACTCCACCTCACTTCTCCAAAACTAGAATATCTCTTTCCCAACAATTTGCTTCATTTCTCATTTTGCGAATATATGGCATGTCTTCCGGCATGAGGGGCTCGTCATTCTTCTTAATATCTATGTTTGGGATGTTTGCACGGTCCCTGCATCACATCAAATTAAAATTATTACTTTTTATTACTTATTGTTGATTACTCATACTTCTTTTGTTAAAATTATGCTCAGTGCATCGCATCTCATATTTTCCTTCTAATTAAAGTTTTTACGTGTTAGTTGCATAATATGGTATCATTTATTTTGATTGAACATCATTTTTAGTTAAAACAAAAACAAATAAAACATAAATTGAGTGGGTAAAGTGCTTTTGTTTCGTTGTATTTACAATAAAGAATCATATGGTTTAGAGATATCATGATAGATTTAGGTTTGTTGCATTTAAAACATTTTGAAGAAAATAGTAAAATGTTAGTTCAAGAATCCAAAAAATGGTATATGCATGCTAGTCTGTTGTGTATTGGGATTTTCTTTTTCTTTTAACTCTCAAATATGAATGAAAAATCATATATGATATAGGARAGACTGATAAGTAAATCGGGTAAAAGCTACAACAATTTTGATTCATCACAAACTTAGCTAATTGCCAAATGGRGCGGTGAGAGTAGCATCAACATTACCATAAAAAGTGAGTGACCAAGTGAGTTTCAATTCAAGAGATGAGATGGAAGATGATCCTCCCATTTCCGTTTTCTAACTCGAATTCCATATCAATTTTTCTGCTCTGACRGTCAGAGCCAACTCGAGAATGTTCAAAATGTCATTATTTCGATTCACTAGCTWGAAAATGTCTTCTGCAATGACACCAACGACAACGAGAAAGAGTAATGCCATTATACGCTTATTAGTTTCAACACGTCTCCTTATTTCCTTCACCAAAATTCGGCTTTTTTGAGTGAAATGTATTGAGTCAAGCTCATTCAGTATCCTGCCCATTTGCTGCATCTGCACCTTTAAAGCTGCGGTGATCTCCATTCCAACGTTCACCATCTCTTCAACTATTTTGACCTCTAAAGTGCTTGATCAGTCTCATCCATCATCCTCTAAAGATCGATACGCTTGTTCTCGAGATTTATTGCATATTGTTTTATAAGAGTAACATATGAGTTAGCCAAAACAAGCATAGCTCAGTGGTAATTGACRTATATCTAAAACCAAGAAGTTGTGAGTTCGATCCTCTACCCCAACATGTTGTACTAAAAAAAGAGTAACATATGAGTTCAAACCTTTGATCATAGACTGCTTTTTCTCATTCAGCATTTTATTGGGGTMTCTGTTATTCCTTGACTTCTCTGTCAAACTCTTTAATAAGCCTCTTAAATTCTCACATTTTATCAGTATTTTATTGCAGTTTTTGGGTATATTTKGTTTTTTATTTTGGAGTTGGAAATGTCTTGGGTTCACATCAAGGGGGGAAGGGGATTTTAGCTAYAAAAAAACAGAGGTTATGTACTGAGATTTTAAAAATTTTTTGTGCTGATTCATGGAGTGCAATAAATTTCACATGAAAATAGACTAAAAWGTGGAGTTAGTTATAGGAAAAAAAAACCAATCTAACATAGTACCTTGTTTGTCCTGAAGTCTTTTAAGTTTCTTATTCAAATATAATGATATTTGTTTGGTTTTGTGAGCATGTTCTTTCATAAGAAGAATTTTAGTACAGTTGGTTTATATGTTTGTTGAGTTATGATCCCTTGAAGTAAATCTAAAACTAATAGTCTAGGAGTGTAGCGTTTCAGTTTCATTCATTTTCTGTTGCTTGTTTTTGATTGTTGGGTTCATTTTTAGAGCATTGAAAGTGTTGAGTGTAGATTTTGAGTTGTTTTTGAGTTCTCTATTGCTTGTTTATGAAATTATGACGTTCTCTATCGATTGTCTTCAATACTTTGATAGATTTAGATTCTGTATCTCAAGGGCGGTCCTGTTGGCAAGGAATTGGAGTCTCTTGATCATACTGATTTAGAGGTCCTAAGTTTGAACCCTGTTTAATACAAAATCCCCTTGATGTCTCCTGGATTTCGGCCTCTGAGCAGGCATAGGTGCCCTCGGGTATAGGGGAGCAAAGTGATGGAGATACTATGACTATTTAATGCCCACCTACATACAAAAATTATATGGTTTTCTAAATGAAATATTGATATAATTTTGGGTTGGTTGCAAAGAAAATAATAGTGGATTTGACAAGTGATAGATTCTAATCTATAGAGATGCATATAACGCACTTGAAATTTTTGTGAATGTATTCAATGGTGTTACTTTGGGGGTGAAAAAGTTTTGGAGAACTTGCCTTGTGACTTTGTTGTGATTTCTGCATGCATAAGTCAGATTTGGTTGAAAATGACTTCAAGAGTTTTGCTTCCACTTTGGTTTACTTATTTAAAATGATTGTTTTAGATTCTATTTTTAATATAATATGCTATCATATATATAGTTGGGTTAGTTGGTATTTTGCTAGCTTAATATATATATGCTAGATTATTGGACAAGGATTGAGTATGGGGTTGAAATTGCTGCAGTATTAGCAGTTGTAGGACTTAAGTATAATTATGCAGATATATTAAGCCAGTTTGGATGTTTTTTTATGGATGACTTCCTTCTCCAATGAAATGTCATACTTTTCTTTTATATTTGATATCTTCTTCTTTAACTATAAAACTTATGAAATTCAAACTGTTGAGCTTATAATTCAGGCTAACATCCATGTATACAAATTAAATGGCCATGTAATCATGGGTCGATTCATAATCGAGTTCCTTCAAATCTGAACCCATTAGGGCTTTGGAACKCTTATACAGAATTTCCAGGCTTTGCAAATCTCTTGATCTCTCTTTTTTCATCTCAATCTCGTCTCATTTGGGTTTTCCATTTTTCAGAAAAAATTACTCATGCATCTGGGTTTTCGATTTTTTAGACAATGTTCATCACCATCTGGGTTCTCAGTTCTGATGAGTTCCCCATTTCTTAGATTTTTCTCTATTTCAAATGCAGAATGTTCAGTCTTAGTTGAAAAATCTGATCCAGATTATAAGTGACACAAATCTTGCATGAACATACTGATTTTCATATATTCAAATATTGTGAATGTTCCTGGCACGATGAACAAAAAATTCAAGAACTCCMAGAATCGAAACTCAAAATTCTAATCGAAAGAATACATTCGAAAAGAAATCAATCCCTCAACAATTAACTTTTAAGTATCTTCTCCACTCTAACCAACAAAACAAGAAGCCATGGCAAAAAGAGGGGAAACCAATCAAAACTCAACAATATCAAGAAAAGAAAAMAAACAGAACCCATTTCCTAAAATTTTTAATAAAACCCAACAAAAGAATCAGAAAACAGAGAAAAAGATGGGAAGGGAAGGATGGGTGTGATTGCTGGGGGTATAAGTTAAATGAACGGGAAGGCAGAGAAAATCAAAGGGTATAATAGATTTTTTTTTTCCCTTTAGAAGGTTGGTGGGATGAAGGAGAAGAGGGGTGGGGGTGGGTGGATTTTGTATTTTGGGATTTGGCTTCAGTTCGAGGGTTTGCTTTTGTTTGATGTTGCAGCCTCTATCCACTCCAGCGATAATTGGGTTTTTTTCCTCTGAGGAATGTTCTTCACTTCTGTATGATTTTTCCCTCTTTTTTTTTAAATCTTAATCGGTTCAAGTTTGAACCCACCCCTGATTTTACTCTGATAGTGGTTTAATTTGTACACGTACATCTTAGCATCTTAGCTGCCAACCACGTAGGATTTCTGTTAAATCCTAACAGAATTTTTAACGGTAGAGACTAAATCGTTACAAATTTTAGGATATAGAGATTAGATCGTTACTTTTCAAAGTTGAAGGATTAAATCAGTACTTTTGTGAAAGTAWAGGGATGAAATGTGTTTTTTAACCTAAMAAGTATAATAGATGTATAGAGATGGAGATTTTKTTATACATGCATTTTCTGAGTATGACTCCCCAGCCCACCACCCATTGGCTATCATTAATTATGTGTAGCTTTTSTGCCTAATGGAGTTTTCTATTTGGTGGTTTTTAGGGAGTCATGTTTTTTCATAAAAGTGTGATAGATGTATAGAATTGGAGATAGTGTGTTGTTTCAATGCATTTTCGATTATTACCCTCCTATGGACTTTCATTAGTTGCCCAAAGCTTTTGTGCTTATGGAGTTTCCTATTGAGTGATTTTTGGTTTATGACACTTCTTACGGATTGTTTCTTTTTAATATAAGTTTGATATATGTATAGAGGTGGAGATAATTTTGATTGTGACTCCTCAATGAACTTTCATTAGTTATGCATAGCTTCTGTGCTTATGAAGTTTTCTGTTGAGTGATTTTTAGGGGATGACTCTGTTAATTGTTTTTTTAATATAAATTCATATTTATGGAGGTACAGATATAATGTGATGGTTATTGATGTTAAATTATGTAAACAAATTTCTTTTTAAGTTTTATTTTTAATTTTATTTTATTAATGTGAATGCAAAAATAAAGATTGATCTTATAAATATATTTTGTTTTTGTTTTTATAGGTAAATGAAATGATGATCTGAATTACTTATGAGATAGGGATTTGTATAGGATATGTTTATCTCATTTTTTTTTCAGTGGGATGTATTTTAAATTTATGTACTTGTTTTAGCATCATACATATTTACTCGAGACTATAGACATGTACTTAATATATGWATTAAAACATTCTAAGAGTCTTGTGAACTAAATATTATGCCTTTCGCGTTAAACTGCAACTTATAATTTTACAAAGAAACGGATATTTGAATATTCTTAATTGTGAAAAATTAAATAAAGCTGTGCATTGTTCAAATTTAGTTTTTCATTCGCGTTATTTGATTATGGCTATAGAGTTTCTATTGCATATTTCCTTTGTAATATGTAATATTTGTGTGTATTTAGTGGTCATGATTCCAGAGCTTCTATTGCATATTTCCTTCCTAATATACCATCAATATTTGTGTATTTATTGAACATAAGTCTTCTTTGTTCCTAAGAAGCTATGTCTTTATTTCTATAATCTAAGAATCTTTGGGTAGAACATTATTCTCCTTTCTTTTACCACTTATTCGACATGACTCATTTCATTCACCAAGATAGATTTGAAAAAACATTCAAATATTTGTTCCCTTTTCTTTTTATTTTATATAGTTTTTAAACTTAGAATAACTTAGAAAATGGAAAGAATAAAAGTGGATTAAACCTCAAACTCAGACTTCATGCCAAGAATTAATTGATATTCCGTTTATTATTGGATGTATCCAAATACATTAAATAATTAAATTTGAATTTGAACCTTTCAAATTAAATGTTCTTTCAACATAATTAATCCATTAATGTTTTTTTTAGCTAAAAAGGGACTTTATGTACCTATAGTTTATAAGCTCAATTGATGTTTAATTAATTAATTTTCATTCATTAATTCGAGGTTACTCCACTATAATCCCGGAGTAGGGCATATTATGTTTATGGATGTAAACATTACATGCAAGTTGTTGTTTGAAATTACAAGTAGGTCAAAAGTCTGTTTTACTCTTGTAATTACATCTTATACCTTTAAATATCACCGATCCAACAATCTATTTGTGATCAAACTATAAACTAAGTCCCTCTCGAGTCAGAGGGTGGGACCCCATTGTTCAAGACCCAAAATCAGTGCTTAAGAGAACTACATGTACTTACCCATGTAATGGTAAGGATTAAATTCCATCTTSTAACATTTTGTTCCTAGCTCCATATTTGGTAAAGTCTCCATAATAGTAGGCTTATTGAATCRGCTTAAAAAGTCATTCTCACCCATGTAAATCAAAGGACACTCCCTCATAGGCAAGAGTTCATAAATCACTAAAGATTGAGATTCAGTCGCATATGATCATTTTGTGAAATACTTATCTTATCGGATTTACAAAGAAAGATTAAATATTTCGCGGTCCAGTCTTATMCAAACTCATTGTACATGATATCCTTACTATCTGTAACATTTACAACATGTCTCTAYGTGAATTATTAAATCAGACTATCTGTAACATTTACAAAATGGGYCGTATAAATAGTGTTACTAGAATAGGGTACTCAACCTTATCCATATACACTCTTTAGATTATAACTTGAACAAGATCCTCTTATATGTCAACTATATACGGTTCAAAATTACATTTATTTTCATAAAATGGATAATAAATATTGCATGTAATAAAAAAAATTTAAATATGTATTTTTCAAATAAATAATAAAATATTTATTAATTACGAGGATTTAGGGCATAAATTCCAACAATAATCATCCATYTGATTCTTTTCCATCTAATTCGAATTATAATTATTTTGTACGTCAACAAGAGAACCAATGGAACTCTAGCCCTTATTCGAACACCTACAGCCAAGGTTGGGAAGATCATTCAAATTTCTGGGAGGATAGTATGATGAAAGTTATTACAATCATTCCCAACAATACGAGCAAACATTCCCACCAGAGTTCATGATACARCCTCAGTAAGAGTATGATGAGCAATGGATGTCAAAATAAGTGCAACCGTAAAAAAGTTGGAACCTTGAAGAGATGATAGAATTTATGGCAAGAAATGATATAGCATTGCGCGACATGGAGGTCCAAATAGGGAAGTTGGTCGATGAGCTAAGAAACATTACATCARAAGCATTGCCTACCAACGTGGAACCTCCAATAGGAGAAGGAGAAGTGCAAGGTGAGGCAGCAARCCTATGGAGCGTGCTAGTTTATGAAGAACCAGCTCCTAGTGGAAAATGATGATCCACCTGACCTTGATTTGACCAACGAGGTAGGGATGGAGAAGGAAAAGTTGAACAAAGCAGCCAGTTGAGGTAAGTACAAATAAAGGTGAATATGATGTGGGCCCAAACCCAATGCTTGTAGATTTSGAACCACTCTCCCTATTCCTTCACATTTTTCGAAGGATWATCAAGACATACAGAARGGGGAATTGACCATACATCTYCAAGATGAAGAAAAGGGATTAGAAAAGAAAGAGGACAAGACAGATTCAAATGATGAAATTGTAGTAGACTCAAACCCACCACTTACATTTATGAAATCACTCTCTCCTTTTCCTCAAATTTTTTTTCAAGATATACAAAATGAGGAATTCATCATACATCTCAAGGATGAAGTAAAGGAAGAAACAAAAGAGGATGAGACATAATCAAACAAAAGATTCTATATTGAAAYGAAAATCTCAATCCCCAAAAACAAATATAGAAAAGTATTGAACCTACCACTCGATTTGAACCATGAAGTATATTGGGCTTTAAAAGAGAGAAACTATGACATCGAATGAGCTTGAATAAATGAGTTGAAAGTTAGAAAGACTCCAAAAGTTCTTCAAAGTTAAACCTATATGAGGGAAGTTGTACATTACTTTCAAGCTTGTTTAAATTCAAGTCCTTTGCTTTCTCAATATTTTAATAAGTGTGTTTCGTAATGCAGGATGAATTTTTCAAGAAAATGAAACAATGGTACAACAAACGCCTTAAACCTAAAATTTTTAAGGAAGATGATTCGGTTCTACTAATTAATTCTAGCTTTGTTCCAGGAAATTGAAACTTGAAATCCAAGTGGCCTAATCCTTTAAGAGTTTCAAAGTTTTTCCTGCTAATTGAATTAGTTAATTCAAAATATTTTATTTCCAAAGTAAAACAGTGAAACCTTTTTTGGTGGAAATATGGATAAAGGGAAGACCTCTATCGAGCTCTCGGAAACTTGAATTAAAATTTTCCCCTCCTCGTTTTTAGAATATTTATGGAAGGAATGTTTTTGTAAAATTGTGTGCATTATGTTATTTATTTCAATATTTGGAAAATTTTAAAAACTAAAGAAAAGAGAGAAGTTTTTTGTTTTCCTTTTCTTTTAGATTTATAAATTTGAGCTAGAAAAAAGAAAGAAAATACGAGTTTGTGTAGAAGGTCAAACTAATTGAATTTTTATTTTGAACTTTAAGTTTGGGAAGGTGAGTTGTCTTAATATTTCTAATGGCAACTTACAACCTTTTATCTTGTTAAAATTCGATTTGTTTTTATTTTAGAGTATGGTTCAGGAATTTTTGCAAAAGATTSATAAAATCTTGGATTGGAAGAAAAGTAAAAAAAAAAAAAAAATTCGAATTTAATAATTGGGCTTGATTTTAAAATTATTTTGGGCCCAAATTTGGGAAGTTGAATCTTTTTAAAATTTAAATCCAAATAAAAGTTGGGTTTCGTTAAAATCAGGGAAAACAAGAGGAATGACTATAAAAATAATGTGTTTTGAAAAAAAGGTCAATAGTATCTAATATTGTGATAATGGTTGATTGTGAATTATGATTCAATTTTAAATTTTATTTAGGACAAATATATACCTAAAACCAAATAGCCAAAAGTAACTCTATATTTTGTTTGGACAGATAATACCCTTAAACAAAAACGGCTTCATTTTAGGAAATCTCTAACCAACTTATACTACCAAAACTGCTTGTGACATTTTTTTTTTGCCAAACACAACCTTTTTTTAATAACAAAATGGGATGCAATCATATATAAAACGTTGATCATGCATTAGTCATCTTTTGCCACCTTGACCGTTGTTCCAAATTATTTCTTTGTCGATGCAACCAAGAGGATATTGGCCCCCAAATCTTCCATATGATTTGGCAGTATGGTCGACTTGAGTGGARAATTTCATGTGCCTGCAYGGGRATCGAAATTCCATGAAGATCACACTACTCAGTCTCCGATCTAATCCTAAAAGATGAAGCCCGAGTAGTAGGCTTTTGAATGTGTGTGAGATGCATGATGATGCAAAATAAAATCATAATACAATTAAATGAAGAAAAAAAAAACAAAGAACAAAAATGAACCCAAAACATATTACAATAGGATAATAAATGACAAAATAAATAGCATGACTCTCTTAATTGTCCCCAGTGGAGTCTCCAAGCTGTCGCAACGTCATCGCAACACGGAGCGGCCGAYGTCATCCCCTGAAGGGTCTCTTTCGAGATAAGGRTTTGGAGTCGCCACCAATCATCTACGAGGTGTGATTGGTCAGCTAAAAATAAAGGCAATGTATGCGAAAACAGATTGTTGGTTCGGGAGTCAATTGAGCGTAGGGAAGGTGTTAGCACCCTACGACACCCGTTCGAAAACGGTACCACATTTTGTCAAAAATTATCCTATTATTTTATTTGGTAAAAAAAAAGGAAATATTTTTATTTTATTTTAAATGTCCCATATTATATTAATTCACATTTTGTAATAGGATATAAATTAATAGATATGAGTGGCACGAAGGCCATTAGAAAAATTTTGACACCTCGAGAATATTTGGAGGTTCCAATTCCTGTCATTGGAGGTTTTGAAATAATTATTTAGCAAAAAATAATAAATAAATAAAAATTTAATTTTATGGAATATTAAGACTTGAACTTGCGATATGAGTGTTGACACTCAAACATCGCACCAATGTGTCAACACTTTGAGATATAAACTATGATCCCTTTTAAAATACAACTTTTGTATTTTTGAATTTTTTAAAAAAAAAAACTCTAAACAAAATCTTTTATTTAAAATAATTATTTAGTAAAAACAAATGACAAAAATCAAACATTCAAATATTCGAACTTAGATCTTATACATTAAGAACCAAACATCTTACCACTATGCCAACATCCTAAGATGTAAACATAATATTCTCTTAAAAAACAAAGTTTTTAATTTAATTTTTTAAAACTAAAAAAAACRAATTT